GATAGATAGATAGATAGATAGATAGATAGATAGATAGATAGATAGATAGATACTATTATGAAAGATAGATGGATGATAGATAGATAGATAGATAGATAGATAGATAGATAGATAGATAGATAGATAGATAGATAGAAAATAGGCATCAGTCATAGATATTTGACTGATTAATGAAAGATAGATAAATAGATAGGCAAACGCTATTAATGATAGATAGATAGATAGATAGATAGATAGATACTATTATGAAAGATAGATGGATGATAGATAGATAGATAGATAGATAGATAGATAGATAGATAGATAGATAGATAGATAGATAGATAGAAAATAGGCATCAGTCATAGATATTTGACTGATTAATGAAAGATAGATAAATAGATAGGCAATAAATATTAATGAGAGAGAGAGATAGATATTAATGATAAATAGAAAGGAAATAGATATCAATGATAGTTCACTGGTTAATGAAAGATAGATAAATAGATAGGCAATAGCTATTAATGATAGATATATGATACAGATAGATGATGGAGAGATAGATGAAACATACGATTATTATATAACATTTAGTTAAACAAGATACGCTTCCTAGTCAGTGTATAGACCAGAATCATTTGGTGCCCCCTTATCTCTGTGTACCATAATTATCCTTTTCCCATAGAGATGCTATGAAGTAACTTTGCAATCTGCACATTGTCTGTCCCCTTTCTTACTACAATGTCTATCTCCTAGCTCTCTTTGGATGGTTGAACATGTCATGTATCTCCTGCCCCCATACAAAATATGACACCCCTTGCAGACAAATAGTAGTGTCCTATGGTAGAAGACTTCCAGCAGGCAGAATGATGGTCTATGGAGCTGTGATGAGCTGAGTTACATAATTATGTGTATTTATTATTCCATCTGTTTGGAGCTTTGAAGGTAATGATTAGATAGTGACAGTACACACACAGCACTAGCAGGTTATGTACAAATAGGGGGAAAAGACTTTACCTTCCTGGCCCCACCAAAGCCATATTCCTTGGCAAGTTGCTTAGCCTCCTCCTCTCCCCCTTCGTTTAAGTCCACCAAAAAATGATCAGTGAGGAGCGATCTATCAGCAGCAATAGTAGCACACAGCAGCGCCAAGCCAGCTAGGACACACTGTAAGAGGGATCTTCCTTTCATCTTTCTCACTTAGTCTGTGAAGAAGGTGGATGTGGAGTGCAAAGGCTGCAAGTCAGCACTATACAAAAACAAGAAAAGAAATGCAGAGGAGAGGGGGGGAAAAAGAAAATGCTGAAGCAGTAAAATGAAAGGGACCAGCAGCCAGTGTGCCTTATCCTACTGCATCTCTCCTCTGAGCAAGCCAAGCAGCGCTCTACTCTGCTCCGAAGGAGGCTCAGCCGTATGTGTGTGTATGTGAGGCTACTGCCAAATCTGCATCCCAGCTCCTCCTTACATCTACAATTCATCCCAGGCTCAATGCCAGTCCAAGGCAGGTCACGTGTGGAGGACTCCCAACCAATAGAAGGGAGGGAGAGGGAGAAAGCCAAGCTGAGCGCTCCGCTCCTCCTTTGTCAAGCGCCGCTCATTAGTGCCCAGCCAGTGGCTTCCTGATTCAGCACCCTGGAGAATTCCTTCATGTCTATCAGACGATCCGCAACTGGCAGAAAGGGAGCTGCTCAGTCAGGGGAAACCCACAGGGGACGGCGACTGTTAGCTAAACTGATGTCATTGTGTGCAAAACCCTCAACTGCTACACACACACACACACACACACACACACACACACACTGGCTTTAATGTGCATTAGTACAACGCTGCAAGGAGTAGGGAACCCCTACACTAGGTGTGAGTAGATCTATTGTACCAGGCATGCATGCAGTTCATATGTGTATTTAAATGATTTCCTGGAGTTTGGATGTAAAGTGAAGACACAGATTAATATAAAGCTGCAAGAAGTAGGGAACCCCTACACTAGGTGTGAGCAGACCTATTGTACCAGGCATGCATGCAGTTCATATGTGTATGTAGATGATTTCCTGGAGTTTGGATGTAAAGTGAAGACACATATTAATACAAAGCTGCAAGAAGTAGGGAACCCCCTAAAATTGGTGTGAGCAGACCTATGGTACCAGGCATGTATGTAGTTCATATGTGTATTTAAATGATTTCCTGGAGTTTGGATGTAAAGTGAAGACACATACTAATACAAAGCTGCACGCAGTAGGCAATGCCCTACACTAGGTGTAAGCAGACCTATTATACCAGCCAGGCATGCATGCAGTTCGGTTGGAAAGTGAAGACACATACTAATACAAAGCTGCGAGCAGTAGGGAAACTCCTACAATTGGTGTGAGCAGACCTACTGTACCAGGCATGCATGTATTTCATATGTGTATTTAGATGTTTGCCTGTCAGGTGTAGACACATGTTAGGACAAAGCTGCAAGGAGTAGGGAAACCCCTTAAAATTCTTTGTACAGCTGCACTTAGACTAGGAGGGGGAGGGACAACATTGGGAGCAGGTAAAACAGTGTCCATGTATGCATTTCATATGGGTATTTAGACGTTTTCCTGGAGCTTGACTGTAAGGTGTAGATGCATATTACTACAAAGCTGCAAGGAGTAAGGAAACCCCAACACTAGGCATAAGCAGGCATATTGTAACATACATCAATTACAGTGCAACTTGGTCCATGGAGCTGTTTGGGCATGGTTTGTTATGGCATGTTCTGCAATATCCAATTATAGTCCAGACACAATAATGTAATTTTGTATTCATTAATAAATAGATTTTTTAGAGCAATTAGTATGCATTCCCAATTAGATTTGGCATCAGTCTCTTGCAATCCCTTGTACAGCAGCACTTAGACTGGGAGGGGAGTGGCAGCACTGGGAGCAGGTAAAATAGTGTCCATGTATATAGTTCATATGTGTATTATATGTGTATTTAAATGCCTTACTGGAGTTTGGCTGTAAGATGTAGAAACATGTGAGCACAAAAGTGGAAGAAGCAGGTGTAAGCAGACCTATTGTAACAGGCATCAAGTACAATGCAAACTTGTCCTTGAAGCTGTTTGTGCAAGGTTTAACTTGACCATCACAAAGGACTGAAATGAACAAGAATGGTCTGCAATATCCCATAGGAGTCAAGTAAATTTCACCCTTCATTAATCCCTGGCAGTCAGAAAAATGAAATATATGTTTGCTTTTTAAAGCTGAACTCCAGACAAAAAATGCACAGTTGAAAGTCATATGTGGGAGATGATTTATCTGCCAAAGGGTTTGTAACTCTATCCATCCAGTCCTGAGATTTATCATCCTGGAAAAAAGGGACTTCACTTTTCTTTACTGCATCACCTCCCAGCCTCTGATGGTCAGTGAGGGAGCAGCAGCAGATTCATAAGAATGTCCTTGTCGGCTGATACTGTAGATGTATGGCGCACCTCCTCCTAGCACTGCCCTCCCTCTCAGTCTGTTTATTGCTGTACAGGGGATTACAGGAGGCTAATACCAAGTCAAATTCAGGTACTTACACTAACTGCATTTAAACGTGCATTACATTATTTTTAAAGGAATATATCATTGTATTTTGCAATTTATCAGCTTGGAGTTTGTATTCTGTTAGGAAACTAAGAAACCAGACAAAAACTAAAGTGCAGGTTAAAAATAAAAGTAATGTATTGAAAATAACAATAAACAAAAATGACAAAAAGTCAGGAACCAGAAGATCAGTCAGTCAGAGCCAGGGTCATACACGGAAATCAGGAACAACAGCAAAGCACTTAGTAGATCAGAGTTTGCCAGGAGTTGCAGAATGATGATATTTATGGGTTTGGTCATAAGAGGGTGCCAAAGAGCAACGAACAGTGTCAGACTGCAAAAAAAGCCATGCTGCAGCAAACTGGTGGAGTAAAGGTAAGAAACCCTGACAGATTTATCATCTGAAAGACCTTGTTTAAAGTGGAAAATAGTTGAATACTTAGTTAAATAAATGTGTATTATTGTTATACAAGATATACGTATATATATATAGCACCAACAGTTTGCACAGTGCTTTACAATATAAG